TAAATCCCCAAACTCTAACACGCTGCACGACATGCCTGTGACACTTTCCCTCACATAAAACTAATCCTAATGCTGGTCTTCACTCTTAATCCAATCCAAATCCTCTAAAACCCTTTAAAGAAGTCAGAAATGGCAAAATGCTCTCATTTAGAGAATTGGGTTGTGACATAAAATAAAAAGCCAGCCAAACACGTTTCCTCCTAGCTGCACACTTCTGAGTCATACCTCCAACCACATCCAATCAAAACACAATCTGTATGAAGAACACACTTTGCTATTAGCATGTTGGCAGGATGCCGGTTTTCACAGATGCTTTTTGCCTTGTTCCTGTAAACCTTGAAATGTCATGATTGCAATTTTTCCCGTCTGCGATGTAATCAAAACTAGAGAAACTGTTATCGTCTCACACCCTGATAACTGACATCGTTTTGCTTTCACTTGATAACATCCCACCTTATGGCGCATTTCCACTGCAGCGGGTAGCCCCGTTTAAGCGTCCTTAACCGTCCTCAAGCGGCCAGGCCAGTTTTTGGTGGTCTTTCCATATAGCCTAGTACCGGCCAGCGGGTACTTTTTCCAGCCCCATAAAATCGTGGTTCCCTCAGACCAGGGCCAGGGCTGAACTAGTGACGTCAACACTCTCGACTGCTGATTGGTCAGAGAGAATCGTCACAAGATCGAGCGCGAGTTCATCCCTAGCGTCGCATATATATCTAGAAGCAAGCTTGCAGCATTTTTATAAACAGCATTTTGTAAACGGATGAGCTACAAAAATGGCTACGTCTAATAAGAAAAGCACACCGTGGTCGACCGAGGAGGTGACGACGTTCCTACATCTCATTGGGGATGATCAAATCCAGCGGGAGCTCGACGGAACAACTCGAAATGTGAACAAAAACAAAGCCGATCGCCCCGCCTACACTGCGTTGCTACCCCAGGTCCTAAACTGTAATGGAAATGCGCCACGGCCTCGGACGGCCAGCGAGGCAGCCCGAGGCCAGAGCGAGGACGCTTACGGCCCGTCTACACTACAGGCGTCAAAAAATGCTTTCAACGCTTCGCCCATTCATTTGAATGGGGTGACGTAGAAGATTTTCAAACTTCGCCGAACTGCATTGTGGGTAGCATGGCAAGGCGTTGCAAGCATCGCGAGCGTCTATCGGCGTCAAAAGTTGAACAATGTTCAACTTTTGAGGCTCGATGCTTGTTCGAAGCTGGCGTCAGCCAATGAAATCCCGTTTTTGCAATTCCCGCCAGTACAAGCGCTAGCCAATCAAACCGCGTGCAAGCTGGGAGAGCCAGACCGCAGTTCATTTCCTCATATTCCAAACGATAAATTACGGTAGCAAATCACCCGGTTCTTTCCGACCAGAACTATTTACCGGGATACAAACCGGAGGAACCAGGCATGGAGGGAGGTGGCAGAGACAGTGGAGGAACCAGGCATGGAGGGAGGAGGCAGAGACAGTGGAGGAAGCAGGCATGGAGGGAGGAGGCAGAGACAGTGGGGGAAACTGGTAGGTTTTCGCCTGTTTGGGGATTTTATATCCAGTTTACTTCGTTTTAACATTGCTATTGCTTTGTATGTCGGGGGCGGGAGATTCATGTGATTGGTTGTTGGTCGCGTTGCTCGCAAAAAATCGCCAAGCTTCAGACACGCCCAGCTTCAAGATTTTTTGATGCCTGTAGTGTAGACGGGCCGTTAGGGACGCTTAAACGGGGCTACCCCGTTGCAGTGGAAATGCGCCATAAGTGAGTAATCGTCAACCATGACTGAGATTGTTAAGAATACAGGAGGGAAACTGAGGGTGTGAATAACGCTGGAGGTCACACTAAAGCCTTTTTTTTAAATCCCAAATATTACCTCTTCAGTTATTTGGCCTTGATGTGAAAACAGCTTGTTGAGAGGATTTAAGGCAGGCTTTGTGGCTCGCACGACCAATGAGCATCTCTCCGCAGCTCCACGAATAAATAAGTGCTTTGCAAACAGTAGGCCGACTGTAAAGAAGCGGATGTGTGTGTTGCATGATGGGAAAGAGGTTCTTAAGAGTAGAAGGTGAAGTGGGCTAAAGTGCAACAAGAGCTGATTTGATATCTCATGTTTAGATTTAAAACTTAAGGTCACATAGTTTCAGGGTTACACTGAATTTGAAAATGCATGAATGTTTTTAACAGACCTCAAAGGTAGAAGGTGTTTGTGCTCGGGAGCCCTTTAATCACAAAAAGGCCAAGTGTTCCACTTCCCTGCACAGCATCCATCACCACAGCCCAGTTCTCCTCCATCCCTCGCACCCCCCCCCCCTCACAAACCCTCCGACCATTTCTCGCCACCGAGGCCAAGCTCCTTTTCCCCAGGATTCATAATCCCAAGAGCCTCAGCAAAAAGGTGTCTGAAAGAGCTCTTTATAAAGCCAGAGGCAGTCTGCGGCTCACCTTGGGACGGTCGCTACACTCAGCGTTAGCTCAAGGATTTGAAGCAAGGGCAGTGGTTGCATTAGGCAGGATAAACTGTATTAAATGTATCCTGAACTTGCCACGAAAAGTATCTTTAAAGCCGGTTTGACAATATTTCTGGCTGACACATGGAAAGAAGATACATATCATCAAATCAAATCAGCGTGCCATAACCTGATTATGTGATTCTGATAATGGGGCAGACTGAAAATGAGTGGACTGTAATGGTGAGCTAAGTGCTTCAACAATGAGCCAGGCTGAGCTAAAACACACACTACAGAACAGACAAGCAAGAGTGAAACGTACAATCTGTGCCTGTGAATAGTAGTAGCAGCATAAGTAAATACTAAAGGAAAGCACCACTGCTAGGGATCAATAACCAGCTGTAAAACATGAATATCATAATAACCTTGGCATTGAATTGCAGCGAAATTCATTTTTGTCCTCCCATATTTTGGAAACAGGACCAACAACTTTTGCAGCCAAGAATAACGAGCATGAATGAACATGATTAACAAATATGTGTCCCTTCATTGTCAAGGTGATGACAGGGTTACTGTTTTATAAAGCTGTCAGTAAAGAGGAGTGTCACTGACAGCTGTAAATGTCACCTGCTTTGTGAAAGTACACACAGTGGGCAAATAACCCCATCAATTAGCTAAGAGCATATATCTATAGCTTCATTAACGAGGTAACAAGGCACCTTAGCCGAGACAATTGGCCTGGAAGACTTGTTGGTTATTCTTGAACAACCTGTTTGAGACATGTTTCCTGGCACATGATGGGTATGTTGCCAGAGAAATGTATATTCATTCAGTATCAAACTTGGGGTAACACTTTACAATAAGGTACACAAAATGTGCTTAGTTACTGCTTAGTTACTGAGGAACTACTAGATAGTTAATGGTTAGTTAATGAGTAGTTCCTCAGTGACTGCGATTGAGGAACAGATGGTTAGTTACTGGTAAACAGACTGGGGGTACTGTATTAATGAATCATTCGTTAATGGTTAGTTAATGAGGAGTTCCTCAGTGAACTTATGGTTAGTTACTGGTAAACAGACTTTTTTTTGTTTTTTATGTTCATCGTTGTTGTTTGAATAAAAATGTAAAACTTCAGTGGCTGTAGATCCGTCATTGTCATCAACAGTGTTTGTTTGTTTGTTAAACTGCTTAACTAATGGTAAGATAATGGTAAGGTAATCCTTAGGTAATGGGTAACTACTGTTTTTCATGCATTACTTTACTTGAGGGGACACACAATGCTTAACGAATGGTAAGGTAATCATTAGGTAATGGGTAACTACTGTTTTTGTTTGCGTTCCTTGAGTTTACCGTACCCAAACGGCCTAAGTAATGGTAAGGTAAATCGGATCCACCTCCACCAGTTGATCCAGGGTGGGACCCAAGCCAGCCGAAGATGGCAGGTTTAAAAGTGCCCTGCTGCAGCGGACCATTGCTTCAATCAAAGTCTCCCAGGAACTCCTCATTAAGTAACCATTAACGAATGATTCGTTAATACAGTACCCCCCAGTCTGTTTACCAGTAACTAACTAACTAACTAACCATCCATCGCAGTCACTGAGGAACTACTCATTAACTATCTAGTAGTTCCTCAGTAACTAAGCACATTTTGTGTACCTTATTGTAAAGTGTTACCCAAACTTGTTTTAGCATCAACTAGCCAGGTTTGTAACACAAACAATACATTTGTGTGTGTTGTCCCCAAATCCACACATTTATACATTATTACAGTCAAATCAAATCAAAGTTTATTTATATACATGTTTGTTTGTCTCAGTGGGCTTTACAGATTAACAAACATGAACGCTAACAGATAAATACAATTACATTAATAAAAAGATGGAGGACAAACATAGGGTCATTTTAAACCAGTTTTAAATATATGCTCTTTTTTTAATCGAGTATCTGTTTCATCTGATTCTATCACAGCTTAGTTACTCCTGCATTGTTTACTTGCAGCATTGTGTCACTTGCACTATATTATTTCACTACTTTCTTCCTATTTGTCTCTATGTATTAAGTATAGTGTGTGTCTCTGTTGGAGGGACTTCAGGTTTTCAATGCTAACAGTGTAGCTGTGGTGCATATGAAAATAGAGCCTTTTGATTCTAATGTAGCTTTATTTCTTTATGTCTTAAGAGGAGTCTGTTGGAGGAGTATGGGACTTTATTCACGCTATGGTGCATATGAAAATAAAGCATTTTAATGTAGCTTAACCAGTGGGTAATAACAATGGGACCCCTACTTTCTGCGGCGTTGCACCATTGACATTGCCTAACACTGGCCATTAAGAAAGCAGCTAGTGTTAAGGTTAGCCACATAAAAACCTACAATACTAGGGTATTGTAGGTTTTTATGTGGGTTAAAAGCTACATACACCTGTTTTCTAAGGTTAAATTAGCTTTGTTAGCTCGGTCGACCACCACACATTTCACAACAAAACACGCACCGTCCGCCGCAATGACAAGCGAGCACGCGCTGCTAAAGACTGCGCATAAACAATGAGGCAGAAAACCAGCTTACCTTTTTACTCTTTTCTCTCTGTAGCCCACGGTGGTGAAATAAAGCTGTAATAAGACTTGAAATCCAGAGGGAAGAGCAACCGAGGAGACGTCGTTTCGTTGAGCAGACTGGAGAGATTTCAGGCAGTGTGTTTGCTCTGCCCACTTGCAGGGAGCGAGGGACGCTTTAGGGACCGCGTGCGTGTTAACACCCGCAGAAAAAACGTAAAAGGAGGCACACTTCTAGATTTATACTATCCAACACAAAGAGAGAAGACGGAGAAAATAGGACGGTCCCTAACTGTTTGTCATGCTGTCACTTACCAATAAAGCTTTGTGTTTACTGCCATCTGCTGGCTGTCACATGACACAGGCTCAGTAGACTTTATTGCTCAAGGACTTTTTCGTCGTACATAACATGACATACTGTGTATTTATGAACAAGCTGGTTGTTATTCTGGAAATTAGATATTTAGCATTATTAAGAACATACAGGATATGACTCAGCACACGTTTCCAATAGTCAGTAGCCTAACCAGTAAGATAGGTGAAAAGCATTACACACCTTAGATGACTTTGCATGTATTTCCATTAACAAATCAGCAGCTCTTGTATTTCAGTGTTTCTAGAAAACATTTGCACCGTGTAACTCAATAACAAGGTTTGCAGTGAGAGACACATTCAATATCCATTTCCTTGTGTTGAGATCTTCATATGAAGTGAATACTTAAAACGAAAGTTAATTGAGATCATGGTATGAAGTGAATACTTAAAAACGAAAGTTAATTATAAATCATACATGATCAATCATATTCTTGTATAAACCCATAATGAGAATGCTTCTTGACGGTTTTTGAATATGTATCTATGCTTACAATTTTTTCTGTTGCTATTTGAGAACTTTGCGTTTTGAAAAGAGGGTGTTGTGAGTTTTCATAGTATGTTTAATACTTAAAAACGAAAGTTAGTTATAATCAAATATAATCAATTATATTCTTGTATAACCCACAATGAAAATGCTTCATATTTTTGGTTTTCTATAGTTACAGTATAAACAAAACAAAATGGTTTGTTTAGGTTGAGTTTTCTTCCTCTCCTCTGGCAGCAGTCCACAGGGACGGGGGGGCTTCACACTAAGGAGACACATTAAGAGGCCAAAGAGAGTTCATGTCCTTTTCACCCTAACATGAGAGGAGGAGTTTTGTTTTTTTGGGTTTTCGATCCAGTTTTTTTTAGCATAAAGAGACTGGTTTTTTTGAGAAAGCCAGAGAGAGGGGGGTTGACCCCTGGTAGACTCTCTCCGGTAGGCTGTGTGCTTCAGAGCTGGGTTAATAGCTCTCGGTAAGGTCCTTCCAGACGGGGTAAATATCTATCGAATTTATTGGTTGTTGGCTGAGTGGAATGATTTGATGAGAGATGTGTGTATGAACCTTTATAAATACCGCGACCTGTGGGGAAATCTTGTCCCCCGAATTTTGCGGACAGGTATGGGTTTTTGAGTGTTAATCCGCCGTCTGTGTCGGAAAAAACGGTATGAAACTGATGTGAGTTGAGTTGGTGAAATGAAAAAGTTGAATGCGCTTTTTATTGTCACCGGTCTTTTTACGAGGAAATACCTCTAAATTCTATCGGGAGAGTTTTAAAATGTCACAACTGAAATGGGCAGTTGGAATTAAAATATTTTGGTAATAAATGTAAGACTGTGAATTAAAGTTTCATTTGAACATGATCACAGCCATGGCCGTATCTACCATTGAGGTCACCGAGGTCCGGACCTCGGTAATATTTGTCGAGCTGTGTATATAACAAAACTTGTGAAATAATTGCACTAAACGGTTCTTTGTAGTACTTCCATTTACTGACGATGGGAGCGCTGCATAACTACGTAGCCTCGATTAAAGCAAACAGAAGAAGACGACATGTATCAACAAACCACCGCAGCCCGGACTTGAACCGGAGCGGCGGAGGAGTGATGAGGTATCTAGAGATCTGAGTCCAGCGGCTGCTTGTGTTTCTGTTCATCAGGACATCATATGACCAGCAGATCCTGTGTGAACGCTCTACGTTAGTCAGTGGACGTCCGACAACATGCATGCACACTAACTTATATTGCAGCTATAGGCTATACTTTGGTTTACATTGCGTGAATAAACTAGCTAGAGAGCTACAGTTAATTACATTCATCCAATGTCAGAAGGATTACCTTTTAACAAACTTTTTAATGTTTTTCATTCATTTCAATTTTAATAAAACATTGAAGATATAACATTGTATTGTTTTCTTTTTACACTGACTCAGATGTAATGAAAAGACTACGTCAGTCGAAGCTCAGCGTTGGTAAGGAAGAGACAGGACAGGCAGAGAGAGAGAGAGAGAGAGAAAGTGATGGAAGTCAGGGAGGAACTGCAGGTACAGTCGGACAGAAGAATGTAGGCTTAATAACCCCATCTATATATCTATTTATCTATAACAATAGTCTTCATTTACAATAGGCATAATTTTAAAACAACATACATCTATTGCAGTTATGATTTCATCATAAAACACCATTTGCTTACATCTTTGTTCTCTTTTGAGAATCAAACAAAACAGATTTAAATTTTAAAAAAATGCAAAAAAAACAAGTGAAATAAACTAAGTGGCTGAATTGCTTTTAATTCACTGGCAGGAGCGACAAGTGAGGAGGAGCAAAAAGTGAACAAAGAGAAAGCGTAGAGGACAGAGAGAGTAATGAACAGGAAGAAGACAGAGAGACTAAAGAAGATGGAAGAGAGGGTGCAGGTCCTTCTGCATGTCCAGATCATCAATAGTAACAATCAACTGATTCTTATGTATTACACTTTCAAAAATAATTTATGCTGCAGCCCACTGACATGGTTTGAAATCAATATATTATCCAATTTGTGACCCCCCACAGGACTTAAAAAGCACCTAACTAGATCATGAAAATCCCAAAAATCTCGGGGGTATCCCCGAACCCCCCTAACATGTTTGGACCTCGGTATTTAGGAAATCCTGGATACGGCCCTGATCACAGCACGGGTTTTTTTGTTAGTATGATTATAATGTTGTGAGAGAGAAGGTAAAAACCCTGTATTAGTTTGGACCTATTTTTCTTCAAATAAACTGACTCCCACCTGTTGGATTGGGATCCTTTAAAAGACACCTGTGCCCTCCTCTCCTGCGTCAAAGGTAAGATTGCACCCTGCCACACACACTTAGGTAGGAGCACACTCCATTTACTGATATCAAAATCCTTCGGGATCGCTTAAACAGATTAAAAGAGAGTTGTCTGAATTGAAACAGCAGTTAATTGAACCTGGTTCTTCGGGGGGGTTAGGAAGAGGTGAGATCTTGCTGACGTTGGTGGATCTGAGCCAAGCAGCAAACTTACATAGACTCAATAACTTCGGAAAGGTCAATTAGGAGGTCAGAATAATTTACCGGAATAAATTATCAGGACCTCTCAAACTCTAAACACTTGTCAGTGTCATTCATTCAGCTTCCAGTGAAAGAAAAACACAACTCTCAAGCTCAGTCTCTGAGAAAATAGATTTATTATTCAAATAAGCGACATATACACAGTGGGTTCGTGGTTCTAATCATCGGAAAGAAGAGGAATATAGTAGAGCGACAATCATTTACAGAAGTTTAAATGTTATTATCACACAGCTCCTCAGGGTAAGAGAAGTCACATTCATATTATATTCAGATATATATATAATGTACTGTACAGACAAAGATCTGAAGGCAGGAGAGAGCTTGATTCCCACTAAGGCACTCGTGATTAAAATGGGGTTGATGTGGTTTGTTTTGGTGCCTTTTCTTCTCACTACAGGCGGATTTATCCAATTAAAAGTAACGTTTTGATCTGAATTACACTGGGACTTCGACCGTTTCAGATAGGGATCAGTAATACAATAACATCTGATGTGAATCCTTCAATCATTGCCAGGGAAAGACTCTATAAAAATGGTAAAAGATAAATTACTTTGGCTGAAACACAACACTATTTTCCAACACCAGTTTTTGTGTCTATACATTAAAAATACAACATAATCCACAAAAGAAAAAAGACAGGACGAATAATCAAACACTGCTTTATGCCTTAATGTGAAATGATTCTGGTTTTAATAAGCCTTTCTCTTGCTATTTTGTTATTGGTTCTGGAAAGGCGCTTTATATGGAGAATAAATAATTTGCTAATACGCTAACCCAGCTGCAAATTGGGACTAAGTCTTTCATAAAAGTCTGTGTAAATCTACATAGGGCGAAGCACATACTTACTGAACTATTGTATGTAACAAACATAACTATTATAACATTATCTTTTACTAAACTTAAATAAGTAGTTAGTTTAATTAACCCGAGCTTCGTGTTTGACGGTTTTCAAATATGTAATTGAGAAAGCAATTTTGTTCCGTGGGACCATCAAATTGTTTAGATAAATCTGACCATTTCTGCCTCTTTCATTTGTTTAAAGAGCAGTATTTTTACAGAGGCATACCGCTACGACTTGAGAAGCTACACAGCAACTCCAATAAATGCATTTTTCGTCAATAGACCACATATTTCAGCACATGTGTTAAAAAATAGCTTTTTAAAGAGTGTATGCCGTGTGATTTTGTTGGTTTTCTAACAGGAGAAAAAGGGTAGCGATCTATGGTAGCGATGCATTCACTTCCCCAACCTCTTAGCAACGTCCTTATAGGCCAGCTCGATTTCCACATCGGCCGCGCACGTGTTGGTGAACTCGTCTCGGCTGTAGGAGTTTCCGAGATAACGCCACAACCCCTTGAATTCAGACGGGATGTCGTAGTTTCGGTATTTCTTCGTCACCACCTGCCAAAGACACATTTTTTTTAAATTTGCATTTTAAGAAAACATTCACAAAGCATACATAACACAAATAAACACATCTAAGTACAAATATTAAAGGTGGGGTAGGCAGTGGCGTTTTCTCCCGGAGGCCAAGGGAAGCCAGGCTTCCCCTGTTTTTTCGGATTGTAGTTATAATTTAAATAAATAAATAAAAACACTTTGTTTTGTTTCGATAATTGTCCTTTGCTGTGTGTTGCTGCCGGTGTCAGTACCAGATATGTTCGGGCTACCAGATATGTTCGGGTGTATTTCCGTCATATCCGTCTACTCACCTCCCTCTGCTCCCAGCGCTCTGCTGCCACACACCGGCCGTCTGCGGAACTGCAGCCGGAGGAACTCGGTACAGCTTGTTATGTGTGTGTACTTGTGCACATAAATAATGTTTCTAATTATTTACAATTAAAAAATATATATATTCTGCGTTACTTTAGCCAACACTTTTATAAGGCCACTAGATTAGATAATTACGAAATGTGTAGATAGAATACATATCTTTCAGGTTGTTATTTTGTCATTATGTTTAATGTTTTATTTACCTTTTAGTATTTGTATATAGTATCTGAACTTTGGAGAGGAGTTGGGAGACACACGATCAGATCAAGGCGAAGCGAATGGAAGTACTCCCATACTCCTAGCGTGAAAATGTTTGTGAAAACGTGTGCAAAGTCTCCGAAAATCCTAAAAATAAGCTCATATTTGAATTCCCCATAAAAAAACATATCATTCAGTAAAAACAAGGCCCCACTGATCATCTACTGTCTGAGACGATTCCAGGGATGTCTGGCTTGAGTTTCGACCACCAGGGAAAGTGGACAAAAGTGCCCGAGATCAGCCTCTTAATTTACCCAGGGCCTAGTGCTTGGCTTTGGGCATGAAAATTCAGGAAACTCCCCTGAGTATTTTATTAAATATCTGAACTTTGGAGAGGAGTTGGGGGACACACGACACATCAAATCACATCTACAGATCAAGACGAAGCTAATGGAAGTACTCCTAGCGTGTGAACATGTTTGTGAAAAACATGTGCAAAGTCTCCGAAAACGGAGCAGTGGCTGTGATGCTAGCTTTGCGGCTAGCGGTTAGTTGTTATTGTTTGAAGTTGTTGCTATGGAAACAACATGACGGAGAAAAAATTAATATCTTCTACATATAATAACGGACAAAGGAAAGAATGAAGTGTAGGCTATGCCTCTTTGAAGTTGTTGCTATGGAAACAACATGACAGAGAAAAAGTATAATCTTCTACATATAATAACGGACAAAGTAAAGAATGAAGTGTCGGCTATGTTTAAATGTTCGGAATTTGACCGTGTATGATGGCCCTCTTGAGTTGCCGTACAATCCGTCATATGACGGATGACGGATGCGACGGAAATACACCCGAACACATCTGGTACATGTGATTCGCGAGTTTTTACATATGACAAACGGTGATTTGCATTGCATCTGACAGAATGAAGACTTTTGCATCTGACAGAATGAAGACTTTTGTGTTTTATTATTTGGGGTTAAGACAGAGCCTATCATACTGAATACATATTAGAGCAAATCTCTGTTATCAGTCCTTTTCTTCAGACTATTATTGCTAAATTTGAAAGAGTCCTTACCAGCTTTGGAATTGTGTGTATATGTATATATATATATATATATATATATATATATATATACACAATTCCATATATATATATATATATATATATAGCACCTTCTGCCATATCGTCACCCTTTGCAGTGATTGACTTGAACACTGAGAATGTTTTTATGAACTTCAGACATTTTCATATACAAATGTGATCATACACCAACACACATTTTAGAGATATACATTTTTCACACACAACCATTTACTAAATTAAACCATATCCCATCATAATACGAGCAAATAAGAAGGCACAGCAATAAATATATTGTGTGGGTGGGGTGGGGGTGTTAAGATCCAGGTCCAATGGGGGCAGAGGGGAGAGGTGGGAGAGTTCAGCATCCTACAGGAAATGTCATTTGCATGTAATATTATTTATTCATATGGAATTATATAACTGGAGTTTGTTATCCTTTAATTTGCTTGATTAATTAAAAAAAACAGAAACACAAACATAAAAAAGGGGTCATTCAGGAATACAATTATTATATTATAAATAATAATAAAATAATAAATTATATTATAATATTGAATTAAATATTTTTTTGTATAGTATTATTTCATTTAGAAAGACAATACAATAGAATAAAAATACAATACAAAACTTTGGACAGAGCTAAGTAACTGATCAGTTAGTCACAACACAAAATAACAGGAGAATGAGAATTAATTACCTTTTACTGTAAAGTTCGATGACGCACGGCGCATTTGATCTCGCTCATTTTTAGAGAGGTCTGTGTGAAATTCACCTTCAGACATGTATTCTCTCAAATTGTTGTAAAACACTAAAGTCTTCATTCTGTCAGATGCAATGCAAATCACCGTTTGTCACATGTAAAAACTCGCGAATGCGCAATGCATATTTTGTCACATGTAAAAACTCGCGAATGGTTCAGACGGTCTAGATGTCAATTTTGTCCTACTTGGGTTGCCGTCCGGCGTTGTCCAATATGGCGGACCATCTCGCACATGCGCACAGCAGATCGGGCAGAGCTGCAGATCGGGTAGTGACACCCCGAACACATCTGGTAGGCTACTGTCACGCCTCTCCCCCATTCTCATTGAGTATTTTACAGAGAGTGAAACAAACAGCGCCCCTCTAGATGTTATGGTGAACAGTAGATTGCACTCACTATTGCCAGAGGAGGCCAGCCGAATCTGGCTTCCCTTGGTGAAAAAAAATGGAGGGATTGACCAATCAGATGAGGCTCACGTGATGCCCCTGCCAACCTGTGATTGGTCAGGGCCATGCCAAGGGAAGCCAGAGGCGGCTGGCTTCCCTTGCCTCACAATCCAATCAAATCGCATCAATTTAGTGTGGCAGTGACGCCTCCTAAAATCCGGAAGTAAGCTGCGCTCGGTTTCCCTCGACAAAAACGCAATGGGATTTCTCCATAGGATTTAGGGAAATAGCTCGAAATAAGGTCAGTGGATAACGAACCTGTTAGATAAATGCAAGTTTTGTTCAGTCGGATAATATCTACATGTCTACCCTACTTTTATAGTTTTCGAATCATAAATCTAATCGATAGAAGATAGATAGCGCCACTGCACCACTCTCACCGCCGAATGAAAGTAGCAAGCAACTGAAGCAAGTGCAATTATGGAGGGTGGAGATTTGGAGTATTTAATCAAAAATAATTGTACTAAACTTCCGCTACAGCAGCAACAACAAATACAATCTGATGACAGGCCGATGCCCAAACTGGAGCTGTGTACAGCGAGGAAAAAAGGAGTGAATCGGACGTAAGACGTTAAAGGTCTCCTGATTTAGTTTGTGAATGAATGCTTATTAGAGTTTCGGCTGGAGAGTGCGTGCGGACCTGTCGGTTAGATAACAGGCGTGTGTAAGTCCTGCATCTGATACAAATGTGTGTAAATGATACCGGGTGCTGTAATCACTCATCTGGTTACATTATTACATTGACCACCACCACACCCCCGACCCAAAATAAAGGACGTATTATTGGCTTCCCCAAATTTTTTCCCCACGCCACGCTACTGGGGGTAGGTACTTTTGGAGAAACCAGCTCAAGTGCGCTAGAACAAATCTGCCACTTCCTTACAGAGCCCCTCCTCCAACACACATGACCAATAAGGGCACTAGATAAGTTTGTGTACAGATGGAAGGCTGACAGGCAGGTAGGCCATCCAGTTACTTTAGCCGGGCCGGCTCAGATGATTGGTCGTGCTTTTTACAGCGCCACGGCTTCCACAGATGACATTTTTTTATGTATTTTTTGTCAAAGCACTTCAGATATTCATTGCTATCGGGATGTTAAGAGCATTCCATGGAATATAACTAAAAGTGTATCTCGAGCCGGTTTCTCAAACTTACCTACCCCACCTTTAACTACATAAGAGTTGACAAATCCGAAAAGAAAGTAATATTACTAATAAAAGATTATTAATACTCAGCTATACATTCATTATCTTCACTAGTGTTTACGTGACGCATTTTTCCCACCAAAGACAAATTAAGGCAAGGCAAGTTTATTTATATAGCACTTTTCAACACAAGGCAATTCAAAGTGCTTTACAAAATTGAAAGATATTAAGAGCATAAAACACATTAGAAACATTAAAAAGCAAAGATAATAAAACATGAATAGCACAGCTACATGAATAAAATTTACAGTGCAGTGTGAGATATGAATAGTTCAATTAAAAGCAAGTCTTCAGCCTGGATTTAAGAGTCAGAGTTGCAGCGGACCTGCAGGTTTCTGGGAGTTTGTTCCAGATATTTGGAAATACCCCTAACCAAATTCTCACATTCTTCTACCCCTAGTCAAATGAAGTTTAAAACAAAAAAGGAGTCAAACTAAATCAATCAAGTCACCTTTAAGACGTGGAGTTTAGGAAGCAGGTTGCAGTCCGCCAGCGTCAATTCGTCTCCGTCTAGATATTTGCGTTTGGATTCCCCATCTCCGCTGTGACGTCCATTTTGAACCTCGTCAGCTGTCGGACTCAGAAGATACTCGTCCAGCTTGGCCAGGGCTTTTTCCAGACTTTTCTCTAACACTGGGACACACACACATACCAAGGTCAAAAGGTCATAAGAGTCAACAAATCAAAGCTACAAAAATGTGCATCACATTTAAAATGTCAAATTGCATCACTATCTCATTGAGGGGCTTTTTCCAGACTCTTCTCTAGCCCTGGGACAAACACATATACACCAAATACAAAGGTCATAAGATACGATAATACTTTATTGATCCCAATTTGGGAAATGTCAAAAAATCAAAGCTACATCAATTTGCATCACATTTAAATGTCAAATTGCTTCACTCCTCAGATTGGTCTAAATTACGCCCCTGCTTACTTGATACATTTATTTTATTTAATCGTTTATTTGGCAGGGACAATGCACAATAATGAACACTTAAAACATTCAAATGTGTCAAGCGTAACAGTGCCAGCTTTAGCTTTGAGCTAGTTTCCATCACAAAAACATTTAAGAAAATTACATTTTACAAACATAGTAAAAACAAAATACATGATATGCAAAAAGTGCAAGAGCAGCATTCACAAGTATTTATGACATGGTAGTACAATGTAGCCGCAACGACATAAAGTGCAAGAAAGATAAAAGTGCAGGAGGAGATACCCTGTGTTAAAGTGCATTTAGCGGTGATTGCCCGTCTGGTTGTTTCTCAACCATTCTCTGAGTTGACCTTTAAAGCTATTGAGAGTGGGACAATCCCGTATCTCAGTTGGGAGGCTATTCCAGAACGAGCTGCCTTTAACGGAGAGGACATTTTGTCAAAAAGTGGTCCGTCTGCGGTGGACTTCAACGTCTCCTCTGGTTCCTGACCTAGTGCAGCGTCCAGTGTGTTTTCTGTGGATGAATTCCCCTAAGGGGGGGAGGGGGGGCAGTCCATGTAAACATTTATAAATAAAACACATACTTTTAAAAGACTTTAAATTGTCAAAACTCAAGAAATTGTGTTTTTAAAGGATGGTACAGTGGTGGTATGAATATGGCTTTCTGTCAAACACCTGGATAGCTCTCTTGAACAGCTGTTCTATGGGTTTCAGGTTTGTGGCTCAAGCAAACGACCAGTTTGTCAGACAGTATTCAATGTGGGATAGAATCATACAGTGGAGGTATGACTTTGCAGCATTGACAGTTAAGAAAGGTCTGATTTGTTAAATAAATAAATAATAAACTTACTAATAGGTCTCGAGTACTTACCTCGATTATTATCCGGTCTTTTGTTCTTGACGTAAGCAGAGAACTTGGCGAATATATCATTTCCCGCTGCGTTTGATTCCCGATTCTTTGCTGCAAGTTTGGGATACCTAACACACAGGAAAAAGTTAGGACGTTTATCACCTTTTCCTGCGTGTGTTTACGGGTGTGAAACCTACTTTGGTGGAACCAGCATCTCCTCCAGATACTCCTCCACTTTGTTAACGTCGGTGAGCACCTCCCCCTGGAAGGTGAGGAAAGGAGGGTGCGTCCCTGGAGCCAAGTTGTGGAGATCGGCCGGTTTCCTAATCAGACGGGAAGGAATTTACAACCTCCATAAATCTGTAATGAAACGCTATTTCAATATCACAACCACCTGTAAACAAATGATCCTCCTTTCCGTGTTTATTTAGCAATGGTTGCTACCTCAGGCCTCATTTCCTAATAATCTTTAAAGTGACCCTTTGAGATTTGTTCATTAACTTCTAGTTTTTCTCAGAGCAGCACTTGGAGCGAGACATAATTAAATGCGTGGGACAAAATTGTATCTATTAGTGGTAATCAAACGGCAAGTAATGGGATGTAAATGTATGATTGTTGAAGCACATATAGAAAGTGAAAGCATGTTTTGCCTTCTATTAAAATGTGGGTTTAATTGAGTTTTTGAGCTTTACTCCTGTGCAGACTTATTCAATAGTTTCCTTACCTTTTGAGGTCCACAGTGGTGACATTGAAGACTACTCCTTTCAGCCAGAGGATCATAAAGAGGCGCTGAGAGAAGGGACAGTTTCCGATGCTCTCCCCATCGCTCCCAGCCTGTAAACACACACATGAAGACAAGGTAAGATGCCAACGATGCTACAGAAACGCAGACACACACACATGTCCAAGGACTCACACACGCTCATTCACAATCAGTGACACCAAGGCAAACTAAAACACACCTGGAGTTAAGCCAGGAGTTATAGCAGCACAGGGTAATAACTTTATCTGCATTTGATGTGAGGAAATATTAAAATGTAAGAGAAATAAGGCACCAATACCAAATGTTTTCAAATGTTTTTGTTGCTATTTTGTACAGATTTGTATCCTCTGTATTCACATTTATTTGCAATAGCATTGAAATAGTTTTGTTACCTCATCACTAATGAAACTATCTAACCTCCAATGCTAAACCTCCCAAAAATAAAAGCAGGAAAAAGCTGATACTGTATAATTGGCATATGATCGCATACAGTAGTGTGTGTGTGTGTGTGTGTGTGTGTGTGTGTGTGTGTGTGTGTGTGTGTGTGTGTGTGTGTGTGTGTGTGTGTGTGTGTGTGTGTGTGTCCTAGCATTACTATCCTTGTGGGGACCTACATCTGTGTGTGTGCAATAGGACACTGTAACGAGACACTGAGTCCAGCATGAATAATCCACACTGCTTCCATTAACCGCCTCACTGCCTGCTCAGTTCCTACTGTACCATACAGCAGCAGTTATCAGATATGGAAATAATATTATCAATCCGCAGGGACACACACACCTCCGCAGGGACACACACACCTCCGCAGGGACACACACCTCCGCAGGGACACACACACCTCCACAGAAAAACATTCTAACCACTGTGTGAATCATGCTGTTGTTTGTGTTTTAAAACATGACTCCAATACTCCCCATGCAGCCATTACAGTTGATGCATTACAAACTTTACGGAAAGTTCATTAGCAAAATAGTCATTGTTAAATATGCATTCAGGACATTTGAAATCAGTTCTAATGTAATGGCTTTACGTTAATGTGTAGCACGTATTCAAAATAATCAGCACCAATGTATAAATACACTTATTATCTATCAATACTTAGATGAGGAAATGAATACCACTCATGTCTATATGTTTAGGAAAGTGCTGTGCGGAGAAAAATAATGTTACTATTATATATATTTCTAAATACACACACACCTACACACACATACCAGCACATAATGTATCATAACTTCAGAGCATTATAAAGCTTCAGCTCTCAGTTCTGAACTGAAAGGACTCCAGGAATAATTCATGAGAAGAGAGAAAGAGAGAGATTGTCGACGCACGTGGGTGTCAGGTTAACACATGGAAAATCAGCACACAAAAACAACAACAACAACATGGCATGCACACGCTTAATGGATCCACCCCCACACACACTTTAAAGATCCTATACAGTAGGGTGCACATTCAGCTTGAATCTACTTAACAGGCAGAATGCAGGGAATGAAAGTCAAGTTGTTCCAGAATTTGAAAGCGAAAACGGATCTGTTGTCGGCATGTGATGATCTCAAACACACACACACACACACACACACACACACACACACACACACACACACACACACACACACACACACACACACACACACACACACACACACACACACACACACACACACACACACACACACACTCCCCACCTTGACAAATAGCTCAATATCAGGGTCCTTGTCCTCCTCGGCTGCTGTATCCGTCATGGTCCAAAAAAAAACACGCTTTGCATATGTGTTTTGTTTCCGCAAGTGTGTGTGTGTGTGTCGTGTCAGTTTACAGCAGATTCTACTCCAGGTTCACGAAGTGAAGTCCGCCTAGTCCCATAGCAGCTCTGTCAAACTAACTGTGTGTGTGTGTGTGTTTCAATTTGTACCCAAGGCCTCAGCAGTGGGGCGTTACAGTGCTGGACAAAAATAGACCCCTTTTCGTGGGGAGGGGGTGTCACTGGAAAAGAAGAGTCACCCCAGGGTGCACAGCTCTGACTGTGAGAACACACACCGGGTGACTTTGAATCATCTGGAGTTTTCACACACTCATCAGCACCCATGGGGGTATCAGGCTGTCAACTCTGACACACATTATCAACTCCAATTAAATAATTTACAGGTATAACGATCCTTCCAAACAAATATGATATGCTAGCTAAGCTGACCCAGAGCTGTACCTATTGTTTACATATTTACTATCATTAATAAGGTGTTTTTTTGTGTTTTGCTTTATTGCAGTATGTGTAATGTGTTCTGTATTTGTAGTATATTGTGGTTTTATCCCCACAAAAGCTTTGAACTCAATTAAAACGAGAACCGAATGAAAAAGGTAACTTGTACCTAAAGTGATTGATGTTTCATGTTTATATCTCTATGTTTTACCATGTCTTGATTTGATAATCCATCCATCCATCTTCTCCCGCTTATCCGTGGTCGGGTCGCGGGAGTAGCAGTTCCAGCAGAGAGCCCCACACTTTCTTTTCCCTGGCGACATCAACCAGCTCTGACTGGGGATCCCAAGGCGCTCCCAGGCCAGCGAAGAGATATAATAATAATAATTCCTTACATTTATTATAGCACTTTATCAATGACTCAAAGCGCTTTACATATACACACATTACACATATATGATACATGCAATGGTCAGATACTGTGGACAATACCCACAGGAGCAAGTTCAGGTGAAGTGTCTTGCCCAAGGACACACCGGCTTTACAGACGCAGCAGCGGCGGGTTTCACCCCTTGATCTGATGATCATTGCACAGCGCACTGCGCCACACCGTCCATCTTCACGCCTCGAAGACATCGAGGCGCTTTTACAGGTACACATTGGTATTATACATGTACTGTGGACAATACCCACAGGAGCAAATCCGGGTGAAGTGTCTTGCCCAAGGACACAACGGCCTGACGCAGTGGCGGCAGGAGCGGGTTTCGAACTGGAGTTCCCCAGCACTCCCCCTTGATCTGATGATCGGATGCACAGACCACTGTGCCACCCGTCCCGATATAATCCCTCCACCTGGTCCTAGGTCTACCCCTTGGTCTCTTCCCAGCTGGACGTGCCTGGAACACCTCCCTAGGGAGGCGCCCAGGTGGCATCCTAACTAGGTGCCCGAACCACCTCAACTGGCTCCTTTCGACGCGAAGGAGGAGCGGTTCAACTCCGAGTCCCTCCCGGATGACCGAACTTCTCACCTTATCCCTAAGGGAGACGCCAGCCACCCTGCGGAGAAAACACATCTCCGCCGCTTGTATCCGCGATCTCGTTCTTTCGGTCATGACCCATCCTTCATGACCATAGGTGAGGGTAGGAACGGAAATGGCCCGGTAGACAGAGAGCTTTGCCTTCTGGCTCAGCTCCCTTTTCGTCACAACGGTGCGGTAAAGCGACTGCAGTACCGCTCCCGCTGCTCCGATTCTCCAGCCCATCTCACGCTCCATTGTTCCCTCACTCGAGAACAAGACCCCGAGATACTTGAACTCCTTCACTTGGGGTAAGGACTCATTCCCTACTTGGAGTGGACAGTCCATCGGTTTCCTGCTGAGAACCATGGCCTCAGATTTGGAGGTGCTGATCCTCATCCCAGCCGCTTCACACTCGGTTGCGAACCGATCCAGTGAGTGCTGAAGGTCGCAGACCGATGAAGTCATTAGAACCACATCATCTGCAAAAAGCAGTGGTGCAATCCTTAGTCTACCGAACTGCAGACCCCCTCCTCCACGACTATGCCTCGAAATCCGATCCATGTATATTACAAACAGGATTGGTGACAAAGCACAGCCCTGGCGGAGGCCAACCCTCACCGGAAATAAGTCCGACTTACTGCCGAGGACCCGGACACAGCTCTCGCTTTGGGAGTACAGAGATTGGATGACCCTGAGTAGAGACCCCCTCACCCCATACTCCCGCAGCACCTCCCACAGTAACTCCCTGGGAACTCGGTCATACGCCTTCTCCAAGTCTACAAAACACATGTAGATCGGATAAGCGTACTTCCAGGCCGCCTCCAGGATCCTTGCGAGAGTAAAAAGCTGATCCGTCGTTCCACGACCAGGACGGAATCCGCATTGTTCCTCCTCAATCTGAGGTTCGACAATCGGCCTGACCCTCCTTTCGAGTACCTTAGAGTAAACTTTCCCGGGGAGGCTGAGTAGTGTGATGCCTCTATAATTGGCACACACCCTCTGATCCCCCTTTTTGAAAAGGGGAACCACCACCCCGGTCTGCCACTCCTTCGGTACTGTTTCCGACTTCCACGCAACGTTGATGAGACGTGTCAACCATGACAGTCCCTCAACACCCAGAGCCTTCAGCACTTCTGGGCGGATCTCATCCAACCCCGGGGCTTTGCCACTGTGGAGTTGTTTGACGACCTCAGTGACCTCCCCCCGGTAGATTGGTGTTGATCCCCCGTCATACTCCAGCTCTGCCTCTAACATAGAGGGCGGAGTTGTCAGGTTCAGGAGTTCCTCAAAGTGTTCCTTCCAACGCCCTAACACTCCATCAGTTGAGGTCAACAACGTCCCATCCTTACTGTACACAGCTTGGATGGTCCCCTGCTTCCCCCTCCTGAGGTGTCGGACAGTTTTCCAGAACAACTTTGGTGCCGCCCGAAAGTCCTTTTCCATGTCTTCTCCAAACTTCTCCCACACCCGCTGCTTTGCCTCGGCCACGGCTGAGGCTGCTGCCCTTCGGGCCTGTCGGTATCTTGCAACTGCCTCGGGAGTCCCCCGGGATAACAAATCCCTGAAGGCCTCCTTCTTCAGTCGGACGGCTTCCCTGACCACCGGTGTCCACCAGGAGGTTTGAGGGTTACCGCCCCTTGAGGCACCTAAGACCTTGAGACCACAGCTCCCCGCCGCGGCTTCGGCAATAGAGGCTTTGAACACCGACCACTCTGGTTCAATGTCCCCAACCTCCACAGGAATGCCCGAAAAGCTCCGCCGGAGGTGTGAGTTGAAGGCCTCCTGAACTTGGGCCTCCTCCAGACGTTCCCAGTTCACCCAAACGACACGTTTGGGCTTACCAGGTCTATCCAGAGGCTTCCCCCGCCACTCGACCCAACTCACCACCAGATGGTGATCAGTTGACAACTCCGCCCCTCTCTTTACCCGAGTGTCCAAAACATACGGCCTCAGGTCCGATGATACAATAACGAAATCGATCATGGACCTTCTGCCTAGGGTGCTCTGGTACCACGTACACTTATGAGCATCCTTATGTTCGAACATGGTGTTTGTTATGGCCAATCCATGACTAGCACAGAAGTCCAGTAACAAACCACCACTCCGGTTCAGATCAGGGGGGGCCGTTCCTCCCAATCACGCCCCTCCAAGTGTCTCCATCATTGCCCACATGTGCGTTGAAGTCTCCCAGCAAGATTAAAGAGTCCCCTTCAGGAGCCCCATACAGGACTCTTTCCAGGGTCTCCAAGAAGGCCGTATACTCTGAACTGCTGTTGGGTGCATAAGCACACACAACAGTCAGAGTTTTCCCCCCCATAACCCGCAGGCGTAGGGAGGCGACCCTCTCGTCCACTGGGGTAAACTCCAACAACGAAGCACCCAACCGGGAACTTGTGAGTAGTTCCGGGCCGGGTATCCTCACTTCCTGGTTTTTCTTTCATGAGGTCTTTTGAACCAATCTTAGTCTGGCCCCTTGCCTGAGACCAATTTGCCATGGGAGAGCCTACCAGGAACACAAGGTTCCAGACAACACAGCCCCCAGGTTCATCAGGGCACACAAACCTCTCTACCACGGTAAGGAGCTGGTTCTTCTTGATTTGATAATGAAACTAGATATTTGTGATGCATCTTTGAAGGGAAATTTAGGATGTATTGCTGAGTTTGTAAAGAGTTAAGTATATCAGTAGCACTTTGTTATAAAGCCACATTAACAACGGGGTTAGGAGCCGTAGCTAATGAGTTATAATGGTATATAAATAATTTAGAAATTCTTTAATAACAAGAGGAAAGATTTTTGGGTTGCCAGGTTGTAGAAATTCCTTCTCTAGGCGTGTCACCTAATAAGTGTTGATAAATCATTAATTAAATGTTAGTTATCCATCAAGAATGTAGTTGTTAATGTTAAGTTGTTTATAAATGAATTTATGTTAAGATGCAGAACAAAAGTCAAGATAAGGTGGCTTCTTGTTGACTTTTGATGATGTTAAATGATTTGTTTTTATATAAATGAGTAAGCTTTTACTATAACTAATAAAAGATAGTCTCCAATTCTAATGCTTTGCTAACATTTCAGGAGTCAGTTGGCATTAAAATAGTGTGTAGGTGCGGCCAAGAGTGATCTCAGTCGTTCAATTGCTATCATTTTTACAGTTGTAGTTTCAAAGTGTCATATTTATGATGCTCCAGAGCAAGTGGACTTTAGTGGGGGATGTGCATGGTACGCAATATATTGTGTGTGTGTGTGTGTTTAGGTGTGGAGGTACAATGTGCAGTTTAGATAAATAGATACACACACACACTTCTTATGAAATCAATTGGCCGTGCAGAACATTCTTGGGAGTTCAACTTATATTTAGAACACAGTCACACACACACAGAAATGACTAAACATGACGACCTATGAATAGAAGTGTGTGTGTGTGTGTGTGTGTGTGTGTGTGCGCGTGTGTGTGTGTGTATATGTGTGTGTGTGTGTGTGTGTGTGTGTGTGTGAATAGCACATGGAGGTAGAGGGCCCAAACAATAGGACTACTGTCGAACTATGGACCACACACACACACACACACACTTTAGGAGACGCTCATTGACCTTGCACACTCAAAGTTGTTCGTGAGCAACTGATATGATGGGATAACGACTGAGATTTATGACTTGGTCCAAAGAAAGGTCTCTGCTTGTGTTTCTGCATGAGCACACACACACTTTAAATTGAAATGAAGTCAATTTGGAATAATTTTTTAAGTGAATGTTCCCTTACCTTAACATAAAGTTGTATTTTAGGTCCATCCTTTTCAGGCTCTGGCTTCTCCTCTGGTTCCTCCTTCTCAGAGGCAGATGAAGATGATGATGAGGAAGATGAGGATTTGCGTGATGAGTTCGCCTTCTTCGCTTCTTCTGGAGATCTCCTCTCCAAATTCAGCTCTATGTTGCTCTCCTCCACCTCTTCTTTCTCCGATTCCTCCTTCCTTTTCACTGTTCCTTCCCCTTTCTTTTCATCTCCAGAATGTGAGGAAGATGAGGAGGATGAGGAGGAAGAGGAGGAAGAGGAGGAACTGCCTCTCCTCTTGGCTGATGGAGGTAGAGAAGGGGCAGCTGGTGCTTCTCTGGCCCTTTCGATGTTTTCGTACTCTGCCATCACGTCAGAAGGCTCTGCGTATGGCGTCTCGTATGTCACGTCATAAATACCTGGCGACTGGTTATCGTAGATGACCTCGGGGGTCTCGTACACGGGATCCATTCTGGGGGAAAGAGGGTCTTCAGGAGACGTTCAGGGACCGTGTCAAGGTGTGGAGCAAAGTGAGGTTAATACCAGCAGTGCCTACCTTATCAAAAAACACCCCAGGACTTTGAACAGGGAAGGCATAAAGGCGACGATGACAGCGCGGCGATCCTTAAAGGCGAAACCACTTTAACAGACATGTTATTGCTTTTGTTGGTGGGAGCTAAAGTACCTTAACAAAGTGAATCATTTATTACCTATGAAGATCTTTTAAAAAGGGCCATCTTCAACATGTTTAAGCAGCACTGATTTGTACGTAGTGTAGTTTAACTTAGGCAAGCAATCTGATAATGCTTCCGTTGCTTTTAAGCAAAGTAGGCTAATAAATATGTGAGTAGGGACAGATATTATTATGTAGGTCCGACATCTGCCAAAAAAGATCTGATCAGCTATGTGCTTAAAATCTAACCTGAGAGATGAGACAACCATGCTGCTTTCTGCACGATGACTGCCGGGGTGATTCCTGCAGAGAGACTCTTTCCTAGTGACTCTTTCCAGCTGCTGAATGCATCGCACTGTAAACAACATGTAGGTAAACTATGATTTAGTCCAATTCTGCAGCAAAACTGTGGATTAAAAAGGGATAAAAGTCAATGTATGAAAGCTTCACCTTGAATGTGTTGAAAGGTGCTATATAAATAAACTTGCCTTGCCTTCATCCAACGTGGATAGAACGGCAAATTACGCGCACCTTAACCTTGATTAAAAAACGTGAAAAGTAAGTACATTTACTCAAGTATTGTACTTAGTACAAAAGTAGTTCCATGTAATGCTACTTAATACTTCTACTCAGAGGCTAATATTATTCTTTTTACTCCACTACATTTATTTTAACCCTCCGGTATCACTGTGGACGTTTGTCCAAATGGGTCATTTTTCACATTTCATTTGGCAATAACTTTGGTTGTGTGGGGCGACTGTGGCTGTGAGGGCGGGCGGTCGTCTTTCAACCAGAAGGTTGTGGGTTCGATCCCAGCCCATGCAGTAAACATGTCGATGTATCCTTGGGCAAGATACTTAATCCTGAATTGCTCCCGATGGAGCAGGGAACCATCCAAGCTGTGTACAGTAAGGATGGGACGTTGTTGACCTCAACTGATGGAGTGTTAGGGCGTTGGAAGGAACACTTTGAGGAACTCCTGAACCCGACAACTCCGCCCTCTATGTTAGAGGCAGAGCTGGAGTATGACGGGGGATCAACACCAATCTCCCGGGGGGAGGTCACTGAGGTCGTCAAACAACTCCACAGTGGCAAAGCCCCGGGGGTGGATGAGATCCGCCCGGAAATGCTGAAGGCTCTGGGTGTTGAGGGACTGTCATGGTTGACACGTCTCATCAACGTTGCGTGGAAGTCGGAAACAGTACCGAAGGAGTGGCAGACCGGGGTGTGGTTCCCCTATTTAAAAAGGGGGATCAGAGGGTGTGTGCCAATTACAGAGGCATCACACTACTCAGCCTCCCCGGGAAAGTTTACTCTAAGGTACTCGAAAGGAGGGTCAGGCCGATTGTCGAACCTCAGATTGAGGAGGAACAATGCGGATTCCGTCCTGGTCGTGGAACGACGGATCAGCTTTTTACTCTCGCAAGGATCCTGGAGGGGGCCTGGGAGTACGCTTATCCGGTCTACATGTGTTTTGTAGACTTGGAGAAGGCGTATGACCGAGTTCCCAGGGAGTTTACTGTGGGAGGTGCTGCGGGAGTATGGGGTGAGGGGGTCTCTACTCAGGGCCATCCAATCTCTGTACTCCCAAAGCGAGAGCTGTGTCCGGGTCCTCGGCAGTAAGTCGGACCCATTTCCGGTGAGGGTTGGCCTCCGCCAGGGCTGCGCTTTGTCACCAATCCTGTTTGTAATATACATGGATCGGATTTCGAGGCGTAGTCATGGGGGAGGGGGTCTGCAGTTCGGTGGACTAAGGATTGCACCACTGCTTTTTGCAGATGATGTGGTTCTAATGGCTTCATCGGTCTGCGACCTTCAGCACTCACTGGATCGGTTCGCAACCGAGTGTGAAGCGGCTGGGATGAGGATCAGCACCTCCAAATCTGAGGCCATGGTTCTCAGCAGGAAACCGATGGACTGTCCACTCCAGGTAGGGAATGAGTCCTTACCCCAAGTGAAGGAGTTCAAGTATCTCGGGGTCTTGTTCTCGAGTGAGGGAACAATGGAGCGTGAGATGGGCCGGAGAATCGGAGCAGCGGGAGCGGTACTGCAGTCGCTTTACCGCACCGTTGTGACGAAAAGGGAGCTGAGCCAGAAGGCAAAGCTCTCGGTCTTCCGGGCCATTTTCGTTCCTACCCTCACCTATGGTCATGAAGGATGGGTCATGACCGAAAGAACGAGATCGCGGATACAAGCGGCCGAGATGGGTTTTCTCCGCAGGGTGGCTGGTGTCTCCCTTAGGGATAAGGTGAGAAGTTCGGTCATCAGGGAGGGACTCGGAGTTGAGCCGCTCCTCCTTCGCGTCGAAAGGAGCCAGTTGAGGTGGTTCGGGCACCTATGAATGCCACCTGGGCGCCTCCCTAGGGAGGTGTTCCAGGCACGTCCAGCTGGGAAGAGACCAAGGGGTAGACCTAGGACCAGGTGGAGGGATTATATCTCTTCGCTGGCCTGGGAGCGCCTTGGGATCCCCCAGTCAGAGCTGGTTGATGTCGCCAGGGAAAAGAAAGTTTGGGGCTCTCTGCTGGAACTGCTACCCCCGCGACCCGACCACGGATAAGCGGGAGAAGATGGATGGATGGATGCTCCCGATGGCCAACGGTGTGTGCATGTGTGTGAATGTTAGGTCCTAGAGTAACATACACTGCTCTGTATGAATGGGTTTGAATGGGTGAATGACATGTAGTATGTAAAGCGCTTTGAGGGGTCTTAAAGACTGGATAAAGCGCTATATAAGTACAGTCCATTTACCGTTTGTGCAAATGGCCTGATTTTTTTTGGAACAAGGCCATTTTCTCTATTTTGGAATTCCAATTTAAACATTTCAAATGGGTCTTTAATTCCCTGTGTAACAAATCGACTAATTGACCATTCGGGAAAAAAATGTCCACTGCAAAAGACTTTGATAAAAACATTCTATAAAAAAAATAATTCTCACCAGTTTTTTGGGTTTAATCTTTAATCCTGTGCTCCATGTCTGTTTGTCGTTGTTTAATGTCCATGCTACCTGTCGTCTCTTCATGTCCATGTTCCATGCTCGTCCATGTCACCTGCCTGTTCCCGTCCGTAAGTGTGTTCCTGTCTGTGTCATGTCCAAGAAACTTATAGTGAAAGTGTATTCTTTATGTTAGTTTTGTCATGTCCCTTTGTCCTGTGCTTTATGTTTATTCCCTTAATTAATTCTCCCTCTCATTTCAGGCCTCCACGCTCCCCGCGTACTTGATTGTTTTCCCCGCCCTGATTGTTTCCACCTGTGTCCCCTTTACCTGTGTATATATTGTGTTAGCTCCCTCCTGTTCATTGTCAGTTCGTTGTCTCTCTATGACCTACGTTCCCGCTTACCTCACGGACATCTCACGGATCTATGTTATTGATCACTGTTCTAGTTTTCCTCGAAAGAGTGTTTTTGTTTTCCTTGTTTTCATTACTGTGCAAATCCCAGTAAAGTCTTATTTTGAAACACTATCCGAGTCTGAGTTTAAGTCGTGCAATTGAGTTCATGCCTCAGAGTTCTTAGACAGTCTGTCGTGCTCCACGGTTTTGTTTATGTTAAGTACAGGGATGCAAACACAGGTATGGTGAAAAAAGAGAGAACTATTCGAAGCAGAACAAAAACAGCGTAATATACCATCTGACAAAGGCCTGTGCTATAATGCTTCAATTAACTGGTTATTCTTTATAATATACTCAGATCAATGAGACAGAGATGTTAAGTTAAAAATCAAGGGTTTTTATTATTATTTACAGCATGGGTGGGGAACCTTTTTCCTTTCCATTTTTACAACATCCTCCGAGGGTCGTACAAATGATTGAACTCAACCTCGGCTTAAAAAAACTAAAATCACAGCCCATTCATTTCTTCTTTCTTTCATGCTGTGCAAAGAAAAAGCAACCTCTGAAGCTATTTTACCATGACTCGCGCATGCATGCACGTGCGCGGTTGTGGCATGACCACCACAACAGAAAGATATGGACACAAGATGTGTGCAAATGTATTAGTATCGTATCCATGTGGACATGATTTAAGTGTGTGTGTGGGGGAAGTTAAAAGCATAAATCTGGTGCACTTTGAGAGCAAAATGAAGAGATCTATGGATACATCTCTCAACACCCATATGAAAACAGAACTGTAAGCAGATTTGTCTTTTTGGATATTTTACAAATCACTGTACGCTACTGTAATAAAACTGTATTCTTGTTATTTTTAACAACTTTTTTGTTACTGTCATATAGTATTTTACACCTGTTTTTAATGTAGTCTCTAATGTCTCATTAATAACTATAATTATCATATCAAGGTGTGCCGTAACCTCACTGAGCTGAGGTTATTTGAGCCTCTCAGGAGAGAGCTCTCTTTAAATTCGTTAGCATAGCTAGCTAACCAGATGCTAATAACAGATCGCCACTGTGCTTACAACTAAAGACACAGCCACGCAAACACTGCGGCATGTGTACGGCTCCTTATGGGTACTGCAATATTTGATGAGCTGGAGCGGCGTTCCGGTGCTCTCCGTCAGCACTCTAGTCTACTGTGGGATTTATGCCAAATAACGAACTCACTGAGCAGACAGTCGTGTCGATCGTCGCATACCATGCCGTGAACTATGCCGTGAGAGAAGTAACGTGACACTCTCGTCGCCACCCCTCTCGTCTGACCCTTTCACACCAACGCGTTTTCAGCTCCGGCTCAGAGCTGGAGCTGAAAAGTACCGGTTTTTCCTGTTCACACCGCAGAGGCGCCATTCTCTTTCATTCTCTCCATTCCATTGTGTCAATGGTTTCCAGCCTCCGCTTTTCCCTAACAACGAGGAAGAGGTGATGGTTTAATCGGCTCATGCCAT